CATTTTCTACATACTTTATTTCTGTGATATATATTATTAAATTGTTTAAATATTTTCATGTGTGTGCAATTTTTTCAGGGTGTCTGATTCTTTCTTGTTTTTAGTTTATGAACATTCTGACTTCTCTGACTTCCAATTTCCTCTTGCAGTTATTTTCCTATTGTGCAGTATACTACTTTATGGTGAGTTCACTGTCAGTTAAGGCTGCACTTTCTTCCTGTGGAAATACCGTTTGCATGACATGTTGAAGAATTCCAGCACCTAAAGGGAGATTAAAACCGACCCCATTCCAGGCGGCACACAGATTTGGGGTTTTGACAGTGCCCTAATTTTCATCTACCTAGAGCCCCAAAGGAAAGAGAATGTTTTCTGGTTGACATGCCTCGCCTCTGGGTGTAATTTTCTAGTACCTGCTTGTTGACTGCTAGGGAGCATTTCTAGAATCCAAGTTTAAATGAATTCAGTTCCTGTTTCCCTCAGTGGGTCCAAATCTTAGTGTCAAGGTTCAGAGAAGCCATTAAAACTCTAAACTTGAACCCCTATCTCAGCATTAAGACCAGCCTCCTATCTCCAATGCCATGACCTTAGTTGCTTAGTTTTGTTTGAGTTTATGGGCTTCCCTGGTGGCTCAGATGGTAAAGAATCTGCCTGAAATGCAAGAGACCTGGGTGCAATGGTTGGGTAAGGAAGGTCCCCTGGATAAGGAAATGGCTACCCACTCCAGTATTCTTGGCTGGAGAATTCCCCATGGACAGAGAAGCCTGGCTGCTATAGTCACAAAGAGTCAAATAACGCTGAGTGCCTAACACTTTCTCTTCACTTCACATGCTTTAAATGAAGGAAATGGCAACCTGCTCTGGTATTTGCCATGGGAAATCCCACTGACAGAGGAGGCTGACAGGTTACGGTCCATGGGGTCACAAAGAATCAAACACAACTTAGCGACTAGACAGCACCACGCTTAACTCAGATTTCCTTCTTTGGTCTGATATCTAGGAAATTCCCTTTCTTTCCTGAATCCACCTGATTGCAATTTTTTTTTGCTTCATTTTATCCAAAATACCTGTATGCGAAATGGAAGAAATGGGAATAAGTGTCCACTTTTCTCAGTACTGCATTTAAATAGAACATTAGTCATTTACAATTTAAACTAGAAATAAATTTAGGAACAAGACTTTACAACAAGGTGATTTCTTAAAATGTTCACAAACAAGGTATTTTTTTAATAAAAATTTTGGAAAATTAATATATATTACAGTGAAAAAGAAAAAATGTGCAAATGTTTACTGGTTAATACACATTTTGAAGATGAATGCCTTTATAGGTATCATCATATTTGAATTTAAGTCTCTACTTAGCTTCTAAATAACATTTCATCTGTTAAAACAGCTTTCTGGTTTTTTTTTTCAAGTTTTATTCAGCATTTTATTTTATTTTTTTCCATTTATTTTTATTAGTTGGAGGCTAATTACTTTACAATATTGTAGTGGTTTTTGTCATACATTGACATGAATCAGCCATGGATTTACATGTATTCCCCATCCCGGTCCCCCCTCCCACCTCCCTCTCTACCCGATCCCTCTGGGTCTTCCCAGTGCACCAGG